CTGCTCACTCAGACTCTTTGCCTCTTGAAACCACTGGGCTGCACTCTGAGCCAGGTCTGTGGAGAGGAGGCCGGCACTGCTGGATGGACAGTCACATCCTTGAACTTCACTCTGATCCTGATCTCTACAGAGGACAGATACAAAGCTGGATGCAGGTGCAGGTTCATGAGCTTCACTTGGAACAACATCTGTGGAGGGAAGAAGGGAGACCCAGTAGGAAATGTATTCAAGCCTTTCAACCCTAAGGCTGTGGTGTCTTTGTTACATTTTCTTGCCTGTCTGTTATGGATGGATTAGGACTTTTCTCCAATGTCCATAATCTCCCTTTGAGATCCTCTCAGACTTTTTCATGGCATCAGAATATGAGATCATGTGTCCAAGGCCCTATTTGACCTGGGGACTTAGACATAATGTGTTCTTATTAAGAATACTCTGGGCCGGGCGGTGGTGCCACACACCTTTAATCCCAGCACTCGGGAGGTAGAGGCAGGCAGATCTCTGTGAGTTCAAGGCAAGCCTGGAATACAGAGTGAGTCCCAGGAAAGGTGCAAAGCTATACAGAGAAACCCTGTCTTGAAAACACAAAAACAAACAAACAAACAAAAAAGAATACTCTGGCATCCTAATCTCCCATTTAAGACCCCAGGAAACCAGCTTGCTGCAGGATCCCTTTAAGACTGGCTGGTTTGGATCTGGCACAAGGACTGCTGTCACTAGTCCTGCATTCACTCTCAAGATGTCACAGGAATGCTGACACTCTCTCACCCACAGTGCCCTCCATGTCAGTGCCCTCCTCTCTAGAAGCTCCTTGGACAATTATACATGCACTTTCCTTTCAAATCCCTGCGTACAAATACACATAATCCCATGTTGCTTTCAAGTTCTTACCAGCCACCGTAGAGTGAACGGCCACTGGATCCTCATGATTGCTTTCACCTGTGGTATCCTTGAAAGAGAAATCCTTTATTAAATCAAAACTGCTCTTAAATCAAGATTGGGTACAATACTATCATTGATGATATAATCAATAATATTATCAGTCAAATTGATAATACTGTCAATCAAAGCCCAACATCCTCTAAACACAGCCTACACTCAGTGATGATTAAAGGAACGAGTGCTCTAGATAAGAAAGAATAAATCTCACTCATCTGCAAGAGTGTGTTCTTAGACAGTACATGCATGGGATATACATCCTCTCCATGGATGAGTGCTGTGTGGGTGATCAAAATTGTAGAGTCTGGAACAAGAATGGTCCTGCAGAAAGCATTAAGCATTGCCTCCATCCTTGGTTATTAGTAACTTTGTATGTAATACCACATACTGCGAAGGAGAAAGGTTATTTATGCATGCACACACAGTTTTGTTTTTTAATATTCTCTTTTCTGAGACAAGGTTAAAAGTAGACTATGGGGATCCTCCGTCTATTTCCCAAGTGCTGGGATTCAAAAGATGAATCATAACACCTGGTTTCAATGTCTTGCTTTTTATTTTTGCTTCTGTTTTGAGACAGAGCCTTGTTTAACTTAGACTGGCCTCAAACTTAGTATGTGTCTGACCAGGACTTTGAACTTCTGATCTCCCTTCTTCCACCTCCCATTGCTGTGATTCCAGGTGTCCCCACCACACCCAGTTTGATCAGTGCTGAGGAAACACAGGACTTCATGTGCACTGGGCATCCCCAGGGACTGCAATGTCATTTGAAAATGACAAATACAAGAGGTTAATCAACTGAACCGAGTTGTTTCTCTCTTCTTTTCCTTTCCTTCCTCGGCTTTTGTTTTGTTTTTTGATAAGGAGGCTCATACTTATGGGCCGCCTTAAACTTATTGCCAGCCTTGAACTCATGGCAAATTCTGCCTCAGTCTCCAGAGTTCTGGGCTGCAGGCATGGGGTATCATGCCAAGCTTTGTTTCTTTTGGAGGATGACAAACATAGTATATATACTACCATACTACCTCCAAGTGAGGAAGTGCCTGTGACTGACTATTCAACTGATAGTTTGTATCCCTGAGAGATGTAGGGTTCAAACTATTATCTGGGTTACAATTTTGCTAGGCATCATTTTTGTTAGGAAACACATCTACAGGCCGGTAATGTAGGTCAGTTACAGAGTCCTTGCCTGCGTTTGATCTCCAGCACTACAAGAAATAAAGCAAAATAATAATAAAAACTCAGCTGTGTGTTGGCACATAGACTTAACAATCCTAACACTTGGAAAGGTAAAGCAAGAGGATCACAAATTCTAGCCAGTCTGGGATAAGTAGCAAGTTCAAGGTCAGCCTAGACCTCATACTAAGAAACTGTCTCAAGCAAAAAAACTAAACAAACAAAATGAAATATACCTCAAAGATCTCTCAATACCAAGTAGGAAGTCAAGCCTACTGTCTAAAGATCACAGATGAGATCCACTGAGCTCCAATGCCAGTCAGGTCTAAACTGGAAAGAGTCTGAAGAATCTCGGAGGAGAAGGGATCGCACATTCATAGAGCTAGGTATTGACGTCTGTTCACTGTGAAGCCCTGTCTATAACCATCGGGTGGTTGTTGTTAGTAAATAATTGTGTGACTCATTTAATTTTGTATTGACAAAGGGCAATTGCTGTTCAGAACAGTGTTCAACCACAGGACCATGTACTGTGAGTCAGAGAAGGGGGCAGTGTCCATTACCGTGGCCTCTGGAAGTGCGCCGTGACTCTGAAGGTCAGGAATCACTACTGCAGAGGACTTCAGGTTTTGGAGAAAGAGACAGCTAAACAGAGAAGACATAAAAAGACATAAATAGGCGTTTGCATTAGGTTTTAACACAGACACAGAAACAATAATGAAGTAGAAAGCTAACGTTTTCAGTGACTCTGCCAGC